ACAAAAAGTACGTTTATTAATATCGCTTCGTAAAATTGTTAGTGTCGTTCCCAAATATGGCATCCATGCCACATATTTAAAGGGTAAATACTAATAATTATCTTTAAATTACGGTTCTCTCCTGAATAGTAGCGAAAATTTTAAATGTAGCGTAAATACTGCAAATAAGAAGAAATGTCCACGAAGCCTGATGAAAGGAAAAATTACATTCTGCGACAGGCAGACGGAATTATGGAAAAAACCCGAACACACAGAAGTTGGAGAACGGAAATACGGGAGTTACAAAGAATTTACAAAGGAACGGATGAAAGGCATTTGAATAAAGGAACTCGACTGAGGGACAGTTTGGAGAAATAAATCGTGGATTTCCAGGATAATGTGTCATCACTTAGATGCGCATTCTTTTGACGTCCACCACGAAAGTATAATGTACTAAGACACACAATATGTAAGGTTTTTAAAGCATAACCTATCAACATGAGTTGTCCGCCGCCAAATCACCGAGCCACTTCGTTACGACAATGATTCTTATAATTAATTTGAAGAGCAAATCAACCAATAGTTTCAACGGGTGTTATTAGATATTTATTAAATCACTGCTTTGACATTTTTTCAAACACAACGAATTTTTGATGGAACGAAAGCCTAATTTTGTATAATACTGAAACACTTTTGAGTTTAAAAATGTTTGCGTTTCTATTACTCACGCCTAGAGTTGCGTAGTTTTTAATTTCCAGAAACTAAAGTGTTCCTTTTCAGTATTGGAGGGATGCAAGGTATTTTTGTTGGCCAAGAATCTACAGGTTTAAAAACAATTTCTTTTAAATTACAATGTAACTTCTAATTGATTTCAGGAAAAAAAATTTAACAAGTGTGAATGACGAGATCTTACTAAAATAATCAAGGTTAAAAATTAAGGAATGATTGTTTGAAAAGGGTGGGAAATACACACCCTGAAGCCCATTATTAAGCAGTTTTAACTTCGCGTATTCACAAGTTTAATTCCCCGTTTTCCAAAACAATATTTTCACGTGATTATTTACATTTAAGCTTACTTTGAAAGATTCTTTGGCTGTTTGGTACTGTTACGATACTACTGTTAACCACGTTGTAAATTTAACTAGGACGAATTTCCTTTCTTCAGACTTATCTCTCTCTTTATCCATTCTTTATAAATTTCTGCCTGATTTTCCTCTGGAAATTCAGACGTATTCCTATTTTTTAATTTTATTATAGTAACTTAAATACCAATAAGAAGGGTAAAATATTTAATTTGGTATTGATGTTAACATTAAAACATTATTGACGGATAAAAATGTAAAAGTGCGCTTGCTTGTTCTTCGGGTTTCATAAAAGGCAGCAAACATTCCCGTGTTCGTGCTATATGAATCTGCAATACCGACGCAATCCATAACATATCCCATAATTATTACAAGAAACATGAACGTTTAACAATTTTACATCGCTCAAATAAAAAATCAGACGTGTTAAAATTTCTATAATTCTTTTCTTATATTTATCGGAGAAGTTTAGGCTCCAGTTCCGCCTTTAATTGCACCTTACACAGAACAAAAGCACGAACATTTTTTTTGCAAAAAATGGTAAATTGACTTACGTACGAATTCTTAGACAGTGCGTAACCTCTCGCCTGACCAACTCGGTGCCTTCGTCGTGCTGGAATGGATGAATGCTTTTCAATATTCGTTTTTATCGCCTAATTTCCACAAAGTTAGGGGTATTTACATTAAATAGGCTTAGCGTGTTTGATTTCCGATGTTACTAGTTCAAACTTCCGGATTGCGACGCTGTGATGTCATATAGGACGAGGCAAACGTTTCGGAAAAAGTTACCGTGTCCATCTTAAGTTTTCAAGAGTCTGCAAATTGAAACGATGGTATTCACCCTGCAAGACTACAAAATCCAGTAAACCAGAACCGATATCTTCAGCCCCGTGAGATTCCTAATAGTTCTTCGTGCGTTAGTACGACGAGATGTATAAGATTCTGAAGACCTCTGCAGGGTACAATCGCGAATACTATTCTACATTTTTCCCCTAACACCCCTTAATCTCCATAATTCAATTTTCCACAATTCTGTACCTACCTCTTCTATCCTCCTACCCGTATCTAAATTATACACTGACAAAATAACGTCAGCTAAGTGGAGGACATAACCTATTTGACGATAACAAATAAAAATTACCAGGCACGTTTAATAATAACTGCTGACATCAGCGTACGACCCCGTGCCGAATAATGGGCCATCTTGAGTCGTCGTCGTTAAATAAATTTCTTGTGACGCAACATTTTAACATCATTCTCGTCTTTATCTTATGACGTCAATGTAAGTGTTTTCCGACTTAGTCATCAGCTAATATTATTTTTTGATCACTTAATCTGAATAGTTCTATTTCATAAACATTTCATGTTATAAGATGGTAAAGTTGCGTCATATTGTGATACAATAAGTATATATTAAATCTTGTCCGTCTAATCACAATAATTCTTATTAAATATTAAAATATTAAATTAATTATTATTTCGATAAAGAACATCATTTAATATTTTAAATATTTTAAAATGTTAATTATTGTAATATTTTAATATTTAATAAGAATTATTGTGATTAGACGGACAAGATTTAATATACACTTATTTCATGTTATATAAACTTCTATCAACATAAACAGAAGTTGATGGCATGTCTGTTAATAACGATTATTCAATTTAATGCATGTTAATTATATTTTTTTGCAAGGATCAGTCTTTTTCATTGGCTTATCCTACTAACCTGTCACAATTTCAGAGACATCGGTTGAAAATATCCCTCCTTGCGGGAAGTTTTCGTTGTCTTTCATAAGCAGTATCAACTAAGTTTGTTAGACGCAATACATTGGAAATTATTCTATTGAAGTTATTAGCCCTAGGCAACTTCAAAGGCCACAGGCTTACATTATAATTTCGTAATTAAATGTCTCTATTAGAATCATCTGAAAGTGATCCATGTCTATGCAGCTGAAGGCTTGTAGTCTCTCGTGGCATTCAAATAGCAGACTTAACGACAGTACAGTTGGTAGGCATGTGTATTTATATCAGCCGTAATTTCGTGTTCAAGGACTAAAAAAAACATTTGCAGAGTATCTTAAGGATTGACACGAAATGCACGCATAACTCATAGGACTGCAAAGTAAAATGTATTTTAAGGAAGCAACAGATAACGTAATCTATAGAACTATCATGTTTAAGATATAAAATAAAACTGCCTCAAAATAGATCAAAATTTATAACTCAAGCGAAAGATAATTCTAGACGTAAAACGAATGTTGGGTTGAAAACTTATGCTTATCTGACGCCAAGTTCACGGCTCAAAGGGTAAATTACGTAAACTAAAGCCTGTAGGCCTAATATAGGCATATTTTTAATTTTTATGAAGTTGTTTTACTTAGATGTATTAGGGCTAGAAGATTAATTAAGGATAAATCAAAATGAGCTTTTAATAACGTGAACGTACAACGATTTGTGAATCACAAACATCCTTTGTTTTGAATTTTATCTGTTTCTCTATCAATTGAATAAAGGATAAATATAATAAATAACTATCTCCACAAATACATTAACTAATTTAATTTTTCTTCGCATTCCGTGTCATCATCATGCGACAAATTTATATTCGCCCCGAGTATCATCAACTATTTACAAAACAGTAGAACAACGTTTTCCAGAAAAATATTCGGATCTGGACTAAAAAAAAATTCAGGAATTCAAACCATTCAAAAACAAAAGTTTAAATTATCTCGGCCTCTTAGCTATTCAATTATTTCACAATAATCATTTGAGTCTAACCAAATTTGGTTGAGAATATGTGACATCACAGGTCTTCGAACGCATTTTGTGTCGCTGGTAAGTTGACTCCCAAGCCCAGAACCGACATTCCGTTTCGGCATTTGTGGTCGTACTAACAGCTGGGGTTAAGCCGACTTCCCTGTTCATAGTTTTAGACACACGATGTCTATTACTTCTTAACATGCACCTCTGCATGTTAAGACGAGGTGGGACGACGTACGTCTGTCACGTGCATGACCAAGTCGCCGAAGGACGTTACGTAACGGAAGGGCCTACAGAACTATGCTCTTTAGATGAAAGAATCTTCTTCTCGAAAGATCACCTCCGATCGTGGACATACGTTTCGGTGTTGGCGAAATAAAATAACAAAAGAGATCCAGCTTCATTGTAACACTGCGCCGAAAATGTTTACCCATTCAGAATAAAGTACTATTTTATTCCGCGTCAAAAAATTTCTCATCTTTTCTTTCAAGTACCCACGTTCTGAATGATGTGTTTGATATGAATGTATAAAAAGTCTTTATAAAATATGTAAGATTTGAGGTTTTCACAGCAGTGAGTATGAAGATTTCTGTCTTCTAGGTTGATGAATTCATCGCCCTGATGACGGAGGCAGTATGACCTCTGAAACGTCGGTTAACATCGACCAGACTACACAGCGCAACAACCCAGAAGACAGAAATCTTCTTTATAAAATACTGCGTTAAATTTCGTATTCTTTTCGTAAACTGTTTTTCAAAGAAAGAAATATTTACGAAGTCTATTCTACCTTGCGTTAGCCTTATAAATACATTATCGCATCAAATAATTAATTAATGCTGTGCCAAAGATAAATAGTAAAAAAAACGTGCGATGACCCGGAAAATTTATGAACCCTGTCCACAGGACGAAGCAGTTCGACAAACTAAAATTCTCGTTCTCTAATCGAACTTGCATAAAATTGCCCCCCGTGTTATCAGAAGCCTGGAGACCGCTTTGCAGCAAGTTTCACATGCAAAAGGTGCACTGAAGTTGTACTTGGAAACATGTAAACAGCAATGATGTCACACGCACACACGCATGTATCACGCAACACCAAGCCCGCGGGCTGTTTTCCTTGAGGTGAGGTGAACTGAGACTGCAGACATGCAACGAACGTTCCGTTCCCACGGGCCTTACCTTTTGCCATTCCTTCTGCGTCTCTTCGTGGCGTAGACGGTTCCGAGCTGATTCATGGTGTGAGAGTTGGACGAAGTGCCCGTGGCCACTGGGGCAGTCGTGGGGTGGTGCTGCTGGGGGAGGCTGCAAACTGTATTGCATTGGCTCACAGCGATGAACTCCGTGATGCTGGTGCTAGGATAGAACAGGTTACGAGAAGCAGCGAAGTTCTGGGCTGGCAACGTCAGGTCTGAGCTCGCAGCTGCCTCTACGTCATGTCTCGCGTTCACACGGAATGAATCCACACTGGTTTTCACAAATATTATCCTTGCCAAACACTCACACACTCACTTCACACTCACTACTTGATTGATGGATGACTGCACTACAGCGTTTGTATGGAGTGTGGCTCTGAGCGTTCAACAACAGCAAACTCGCCCCCACTACCAGTTACAAACGTAAAGCCACGCCCCGAACCAAGACAACACTTACCAATGGGAGACCTGCTACGTCATTAGAATAACAATGGCAGCGAGCGAACTGGTTGCGGACCGGAGCGGTGGGGTGAAATGGGGCTTGGCTTGCGGAGTGACTTGGAAAACTGTGGACCATCAATTTGCCAGATTTGACGGTTGGATGGGCCACAACAAAATTCGACTGTTGTCAACACGGCCAGTTCCTGTGAAGGAAGAACAAAGTATTGTGAGCAATATGACAACACTGAGTGTTCGACACCCAGACCATGGCGAGCCCTAGCGGACGATCGCCGCACTCCTGTTTGATTACTGACTAACCAGCGGTTCAAAACCAGTGGCACGCAAGCCGCTGAGAGGATATCTTTCCGCAACGTAAAAAAAACAATTGAGAATTGTAAATAATATTAAAATTAGCTTCTAATTTAATTAACGTTATTCATTTATGCGATCAGCAGAAGTAATATGATTTTGTTTCCTAATATTTTACATTGAAATATGTTTCCTTCTATCCACTATAACGATTGAAACAAACATTACGATGAAGAAAATCAGAATTTAAGTGAATTGGGCAATGACTTGTAACTGTAGCCTACGTGACAAAATACAGCTACGAAAATGTCTCTGGAAATACGCCGATGTGCTACTCATTATCACGTTTTAAATATTCAGTGGTTGGCGACAAGCGAAAAAAGTTTTTATTTTGGTAAACCTGCAAGTGATCTGGCCCTCTAAAGTCTACACGGATTTGTAACCTGTGTTCAGATGCCTGTAAAATTAAATTCACAGCCTGTTTAGAAGTAGGTCTACCTTGAATTCTGTCAGTATGTTTCACTCTGTTAGCTAGTAATGAGGATGCAAGTATTAATTATTTCTTATCTCTTTAACTGACTGAACCCTCAGGCAGTCTAGCTGCCTCCCTAGCCTCTTGGCAGATGATCCAGAAGTGGTTTGCCATTGCCTTCTTCTGTGTGTGAATGGAGTAATTGTTGGGATGCCACTGTGGAAAACTCCGTGTTGCCTAGACCACGGCTTTGCCTAACACAAGTTATAAATTCGGGCACCGCCGGGAATCGAACCCGAGACCCCAGGATTACAAGGCCAGCGTTCTAACCGCTAGACCACCGAGACAAGACCATAAATATGAAAACTGTGGATGATTTAGATTCGTTATGAAATGATGTGGCCTACTTTAAGATACACAGAATTTTTGTGGACGGACTGAGGAGACCACAGAAAACCTCTGTATATATCTTTAGGTTCTTAGAAATCAGATGGGAAGACAAAATATTTTGAACTGAGAAGTAGCAAGCATTTCCAGAATTTAATCTCCTCCTAACTTCCTCATGAGTGTCATTTTGATTTGTTATTGTTGTTCCCAGATATTTGAACTTTGTAACCCTTTCAAAGGACTTATTAGCTACCCTAAGATAATTTTGCCCGCCTGTCTTCTGATGACGAGATATTAACATGTACTTAGTTTTCTTTCTGAATTTACTTCTAGCCCCACTTTTAAACACCGACATCGATGGAAGGGTAATATTAAAATGGATCTCAGTGATATAAATTGTGAGATTGTGTCTTGGATTGGATTAAACTGGCACGGAATGGAATCCAAATGTGTGTTTTGTGTGGTAATTAACCGTCACTTGATTAGCACAGTCAGTTCTAAAACAGCATTTAAACATTAGTTATATTGTCATGCTCAGATCATGTGCTGTTATTGAGACAAAGGAAGATTACGATGCGAAATGCTGTTGTTGAAGACTCCTGGACCGCGTGTGGTCAGTAGCAACTTAACATCCAACAGCCTGGAGCATTATCCATCTCGCTCGTCACCATCATGTGAGTAAAGCAAGTTTTTACAATAAACGAAACATAAAATAAAATCATAGCCTAAGTAAATCGGTAATAAACGTATAAAATGCCCTATTACGTTTATTACAAGATGAAATGGCCCCATGTTTTCAATTTTTTCAGTTAAGGTTTTAAAATGTGTACTCGTCTTTTACAAGGCAAAAGTAGAATATATTTTGATTACTTTACGAATCGTATTCACAGCATAGTTTAGGCCTAACAATACTTTCGTAAAATTAAAATGTAAGTCTACCAGGAATCGCAAATAGGTTAAATCTTCGAACTTTATAATCTATATAGCCAAAGGAAATATGACAAATTTAGAGATATTTAGATGAAATTAAGCTTTTTAAAGTCTGACTCACTGGATTTGACTACTGGATGATAAGATCACATACAGGTCTTGTGCTCCAAAAATCAGTATTACCATGCGTCGACCTACATGAAGAACTTAAACTTATTCCTTATCTGAAATGTGAAAATTTGTCTTACGTTTATGAAATCTAAGGTGTTCATGATGGCGAAGATGTTGATTTTAAATTTCTGTGTCTTGAAGCCGCGTAGAGTTACATATAACACACCAAACTGTCGAAGGAACATACCTGCTTCACCTTCATGGCGTCACAATCTAGAATAACACCATCTAAGCCTTATATTTATGTATGTTACTTTAATTAGCAACAGAGGGCGACTAAGGGTAATACAATTCGGTTCCAGACCGCTCCGCGGTTAAAGAACCCAACGAAACTCGTGCTATTTTCACGAATATTTTGCATTGTCCATTGCCTGAGGTGTATTTGATACACGGCTATTCCATGTTTTTGGGTGAATTAACTTTGAGGTTATTCATATCTTCAAGCGACTGATTTTTATGATATTTCTATTACATATTTATTTTTAATACAGCGTCTAAGCGTAATCGACTGTCAGAATATAACCGTGTAGGCTGCGATTAGAAATATGTGCCAGTACGCTAGCCATAGAAGCCACGGTGGTCTAGCGGTTAGAACGCTGGCCTTGTAATCCTGGGGTCTCGGGTTCGATTCCCGGCGGTGCCCGAATTTATAACTTGTGTTGGGCAAGGCCGTGGTCTAGGCAACACGGAATTTTCCTCCG